TAATTAGAATGCCAAAATTGTTCCATTACGACATTAATTGGGAAATAGTCCCAAATATGAATTCTCTGGCTAAAATCGAAACAGAAATACCATAGGAACTCGTGATTTTTCTCAGTTGATAATGTCGATATATACTTTTATGACATTAAAATCAAGAAACTTATTTCTACCAGCTATTGTATATATTGCTATATACAATGCTATAGAATAAAATATCAAAAAAGAAAATATTTTTGAAACAAATTTTTTTTTAATGCATTTTACTGAATAATGAAATTATTTGAAAAGTCAACATGTTTTATGCGATTCTGACGTAAAATAAAGGCTAGAAAAAATATTGGGGAAACTTTTCTCCTCATTTAGAATCGCACGTTTGAAATACTACACTTCCAACTAGAACCCATAATTGTTTTTGGGAAATCGGTATGGATTCCAATTAGATCTCAGGAAATATTTTATGTGGGAAATTACATTTACACGCCGCGTAATTGGGAGGAAAATTGATAAATTCGCGAAACATCTTCGTTGCCATGTGATCGACGCGACGAGTGACACATTCAAGCCTCTGCAAATGAAAAAGCACTCCGGGATTATAGGCGGAGGGAGATTACAGGCATAATGCCTGAAGAAGAGGAAGAGGACTGCTGGCGATCCTTTTCATTCACGAGCTAAGAGGACAATGCACCAACACGAGGCTCGACCGGGCGAGAAGGAAATAAAACTCGTTACATCGATACTTGCAGTCACGGCGCTTGAATGCCATTTCGTAATCCGACGACATGATATCTCGTCACGTTCATGCCACGTCGTGACAGATGTCTCGCAAAGAGGATCTTACCTTTGGGGTTTCTCCCCATGCAAAGACAGATGCAAATTACTATTCAATTATAACCGGATATTCAAGTGTAACATCGAAATGTGATGATTCGCAACGACTTTTGCTCGGCGAATTCCAGACACTCGGTGAAAAATGTTGTCACGACAAAGATCCCGATGAAAACAAGATTACACGCGAGGAGCGTATAGATAAGTCAAGCTTTTGGCGAAATAAATGCGATCGGATTTTCCGCGCGAGGAATAAACTAATCTATCGGGGCTGGTCGGATTCGCGGCGTCTCTCTCTGTCTCTCTGAGAAGATCGCAAACAACAATCTCCGGCGCGATTCCGCTTGCAGTTTTTATTCGTAAAACCTCACGTGCCTCGTTCATCGTACAATGCCACGCGTTTGCCTACCGCTGTTATCATCATAATGACGCTGATATCGTCTCATATCTCTCAACTGTCCTATTCCATATCTACTGTCTTAATTCGAGCCGATTATTTCGCCGTTTGTTTCTTCGGGACTCTCCACGTATATCGTTTCTTCGACCGATTGACGTTTCGTATGAATGACACGTGTTCTCATTGATATCGAAACCGCTTAATTTGATGGTGAGAAACGGATAGGTTAGGTTTTAAGTGTTATCGTGCGAAACGGCCTCAATTCGTTTTTCCGCTGTTGAATATATTTCGTTTATGAGATGAATTTTACTGTCTGGACCGGAGCGCGTTTAATTGTCAGTGTCAAACGTATAATACGCAACCGGAGAGTAAAAGAGCGACAAGCAATGTCACGCTCATTCCCATATAGGGTTTTACAATCGGCCCAGTTTACTAAGTTGTCGGAGTTCCAGTACTGGCGCAATACTGGTGGATAACCGAATGATAACTTTGGCCCAGTACTGGCCGACAGTAAACGATACTAGCCCAACCGTTGTTAGCTAGTACTTTCCCAGCATTGACAATCGGTTCAGTACTTAGACAGTACTGGTCGTCAAATTTGTAATACCGTAAGAAAATCATAATATTAAAATACAAAAATATATTTATAATTTTTAATTTTCTCATGTCTCATAAACCGCTAGGAACCAAAGATTGTTAACAACACGCTCCAAACTTTCGCGAATCCTCCTTCGATAATCTCGATCCCAAGCGGTAATACCGGTCACCCATCCATCCATGTCCTAACTGCGTTGGAAATATTGCTTAACCTGACGATCGAGCGGCATGCGGTGCAAATTCCAATGACTCCAACGATGTTCTTACGATTTATGCTTATATAATTATGCTTATTTAATTCTTATAGTGTTCACAGTATACTATAACATACTTAGCAAACATCAAATAACAGTTATATAACTTTTATTTAGTGTTTGTTGCATAATTTATTAAAAGATATTGAAGCAATGCAACAACATTCGATATACAATTGAGCAGTGAAGCAGTGATAATTATTTTTAGATTTTTAACAGAATGTTATAATGATTAATCCAAACAAAAAAATAAAAAGATCCAAGAAAATCCAAATCAAACAAATCAAATTATTAAATTTTGGAAGAAACTTTTAAAGAATACTATTTAAAACAAGAGTGTTGTTTTATCAAATAACATGGTTTCCTTGGGCGAAATAAAAGTTTTTTATTTTCATCATTTTAAAAAATATTTCGTTTAAGAATATAGTATTTTAATGAAACAAACCAAAATTAAACAAGTATGAATATTAAAGAAACATTTTTCTCCGAAAAAAACGGTATAAGAAGTATAAGACATGTGATAAAACGAATTCTAGCCAAAAAAAGAATTAATGACTGCCACTAACAAGTACTATTCTAAGTACTATTCTATTTGTCAGTAATGGCTAAATACTGGTTAACAGAGGTCTGGCCGACGATTGGGTGCAATACGTTGATCGAACGTCGACAGTCTTTCATTTGCTAGTAATGGCTGAATACTGTCTGTCCGGTCAACGGTTAGCCGCCAAGCGTCGACCAAGCGTTGGTTGCCGAAGGCCTTCGGCAGCCAGTCATTTGCCAGCATTGGGCCAGTACTGGCTGACAGAATTCTGGCCGATAGTTGTTGGGTGCCATAGCTTCGGCCGAGCGTTGGCTTCGTTGTTACTACTGGCGACCCTACATGGGTTACTGCACTGAGATGAAAACAGTCAATGTTACTAAAACTATAATTATTTCCAACTATATTTTTTGTTGATCTAACAAAAGAAGTAGCATGTAAGATTATTATTAACACTATAGTGACACTCACAACAAAAATGATTCCTTGAATTATGAATCTTGCGCTACGCGATTTGAGTTGCAAACACTTTTTTCTCAATGTGCCAGTTATTTAAATCATTTCCGATGTTCCACTGCGATAATATTGTAAAATATAGCGCGCCGTTAGACGCGCTGACTATAAAACGCTCGATTGACGTCAGTCAGCTGGTTATTTTTAGCCGCTCGTTGCCGCCACTTTTTAGGAAAAAAGCTTCTCTTTCTTGGATTATTATGACTTTTGCTGTAAATTTCGCCGACATCATTCTGTATATTCCCATGTGATCCCTTCGTTTCTTTCTCGCTACCACCCGCTGCTATCGATAATCTCTGTAACGACAAGAGGGGTTGCGATGGTATTTACGATAAGGGAGTCGTTCGGGGTTACGTGGGCGCCCGCAGAGCAGTGGGCGTTGCGCACACGAGGTTTATTTTAAACTCGTGTCATCACGCATTATTCGGTACACCATGAGTCAATATCGACCTCCGCCTTGATCGCTCTTCATGCTTACTTTAGATATCCGCGAGACAGAAGGGAAGATGTATAGATGAAGAGAGAAGGGTGAAGAGAGAGTGCGTCGCGATTTATTCCGATACATTATCGTCGATTTAACCCAAGGAGAATATTGCGTGTGATTTTGTTATTTTTCATGCAGAGTCGGGGCAATGTACCCCGACTGAGTTGTACACGCATACACATCTTTGTGCATTTTTATGCAGAGGTACGTACACGGACGTTCCGCTGTTAAATTTATAATCAGGCACATTACGACAACAATGGATCTCGTCAACGATTTATTATGTAAAGTCGGAAATGACTGTTCGCCGCTTAAATTAATAACGTACGAATATCACGAAGATTGCGCGAGAATTATTTACACGACAACGCTGCCTGTAATTAAAATTTTTGCGTCATCGAATGCATAATTGACTGCGTGGGAATTACGGCAATCGATGGCGAAGCGTCAATTACGATTTCACTGATAAAATTATCGATAATACGCTATGCTATGCACCAGCGCCGCGGCATGCGATCCAATTAATCGGCAAGTCCAATTAGTCGACGAAATTCGGACAAATCGACGAAATTGTTTACGGTCTCAAGTGCGTGGGAGCACGGCGGAAATGTTCTTACCGGAAGTGAAAACGCGCTGAATATTAATCGGGGCACGTTTTATTAATGAGATATATCGGTCAAGGACCTGGACGAGAGAAAGGAGGAGGCGAGGACGGTGGCGGACGAGTGTCATTTCAGATCATGATTCATTGACGTCCTCCTCGTGTTCCCGACGACGGAACTGAAACGCTGATCGGGCGGCATTATGCATACGCGCCAATTTGCCTTCATTTGCATTAGACGTGGTCTTTCTCTCTTCGCGCTGCGCTACGCTCCCGCACACAACACGGTTGCGTCGGACGGCGGCGCGGCTCTCCGGAGAGATGCGAGAGGTTGTTAAAAATGCAAGAGCGCGTTATTAGATACCACGGCTATTCGAATTATTAGCGCACTTTTGTCGCGCAACGGTTACAATTCTCGAGGCGCGTCCTATCTGGCGTTCTTCGAGCATCTCGCTGATATTCCCTCCCGTTTTTATTATATACACGGAGAAAATATTGTAAAATGTCGTTAAAATTACATATCTTTTTACAATGTTTTTGTCAAGCTATATACTGAAATTGATACTATAAATTACTACAGAAATCGTAAATTCGACGAATATACGATATGAAAAACATTCAAGTGGCAGTAAAAAGGTGCATAACATTTCTCAAATATATCTCGATCACAGTTTCTTGCATCAGATCACAAAAAGTTATTGTAACTTTTACTGTAGTATTTTCTCCGTATACAATATACTCGTTCGCTATAAATGTCTTGCCCCGGCCATAACTTGAAACTATTTTCCCAGGGAGGAAGTGCAAGAGCACACGGTTAGATGGAACGCCAAGTTCGAGTTTTTATGCAAGATGAGCGCCAATGCATCTACGGGCGTGCTCGATCCGTGCATCTTGAGGATATCCGTGAGAAAGGTGAGAGTAGTAACGGCCAACTTACTTTCTGTTCGAGATGAATAGATGAGCGGCTCGTGCTGGGAGCGCAATGAGAAAGGCCCCTCTAACTTTTGTTTTCGCGAGCGTTTTTCCTCTTATTTACTCTCGCGGACGTACATGCTCGAGCAGGATATGAAGGAGCATTGTTGCGCGTAAAAATCGGCACTTTCGAAATTTATAAGGCCGGTAAATTAATTACAATCTTTGATATTCTCAGCACAATTAATTACATACGCGTAAACCGTTAATCAGCTATTTTGATCGATATTTCGAAAAGAATTGCAGAATGACGAATATTTATATGAAATATTTCTATGAAAAGATCGTCTATTAAACAATAAAGGAATACACCGGCCGAAATTTCGCGATCCTGATATATATCCCCTCGTACGCGATAAATTCGTAAAATTTCCGTTAAAATCGGGAATATTTTGCATAATAAATAATTTTACGCACCTGGAAATATATGATGTATCGATGACTGCATGTCTTGGGATTGCATGTCCTCTGTCCTGGGTTGCGATCCAACCTCCTGTTTCTGACTGCTCCATCGTGACATTGACGCTATATACATAGACATATATATATATATATATATATATATATATATATATATATATATATATATA